ACAATATTTATAGAGAAAACAGTTAACTTGCTATTGAATTGTGTGATGTTTGTTGAGCGTGCATTTTAATAACTCACAGAGACACCAGGGGCCCGTTCTTTGAACGCAGCTGTTGTTGATGATTATTATGGCTGGATTGAGTTATCTGAGATAATTGAACGTTCATGGGTTGGTTTAAAAGGGGTTATGTATGGATACTCAAAACCACGATCAGCAATGCAGCGATTGGCTGGCGGCAAGACAGCAACGTAATGGCATCATATAACTAAAAAAAGACCCCTGATGAAAAACTTGACACATTTCTGGACTTTTATAAGGAAACAGCCAAGTGAACAAAACTACATAAATGTTATAATAGATAAATGAAATGCGAAAAATAAATGAAAAAATTTGTTTTTATTTATTTTATTTTTTTACATGATTCCCAAATATGTATATTCAGGATTTCTAATATTTGTAAAGGCTTTACATTTTTATTTCAATGTAAAATTAGCAATTCATTTAATTTTATATTTGACCAGATTTGTTACGTGACAGCATTAATTAAAGTTCAAATAAAGGGTCACTTGACCCTTAATTAAGGGTCAAGATCATGCGCTCCATCAAGCCACTCCCATAATATCTGTCACCACTCAAATGAATGCACGACTCTACATTATCTGTATATCATGTGTGTAAGACTCGAATACATTATGAAGTAATCATTTTATGACGAATAAATCTTTCAGTGAGTAAAGCTGGGCGTGTCTGTAGTATTAAAGACTACACAACATTTTAATATTATCTTTAAATTAATTTTTAAATGATTATTATTTAAAAATTATTGTCCCTGGATTAGTAGGGTACTCTTGTAATAAAGTAGCGGTGGTAGAGGACAGATTTTAAGTATCAATTCTGCTTAATAAAAAGATGCAATCTAATCCTGTTTACATGAAATAAGCTGCTCCTGAGCAGGTTTAAGTTTACGGACCTGTTGCTATGACAGCAACTCCGGGATAAGCTTCGAAGAACCAAACTATCTAAGATCATGCCAAATCGTCAACAATCAAATCCTGCTAACTAGCGACGTACGAAGAACGGGCCCCAGATTAACATGACTATCTGTTTACTGAACATTCTTATTCTCTTGTCCAACAGGTTATATCCACAACACATCTCTAGACAGAGAGTGCCATCAACAGGTAAGGAGTAATAACACAATTACCATACATCACATCTCCCCTCTTAAGAAATATATTCCTCAACAGAACAGTTTAAGCAACACAACATCTATTGTTTTAACTTTAGAATTTACATACTGCATTTTGTTAGCATCCAAACATTCATCTATTACCACACACAAAGTACTTTACTTTCTTTTTTTCAACTCAATGACAAACCATAACTTAAATCAGTGGTGTGTTCCCATAATCTAATTATAAACAACTCTTTACACTTTACACATCCACAATGCTTTCATGGAGAATAGAGTTTTGGTGGTCTAATCAGTCGACCACATCGTGACCTTTTGACCTGTTCTTCCTTGTCCACAGTTGGTGTTACAGGTCTTTTCACTGGTGACAGTGCAGGTGATTGCACTGGAGTACCACTATCTGCAGGCTCACTGTTTACTGAAGAACATTCCTCCAAATCTAGAGAGCATGGTTGTGGAAAAGTCATTTCTCTGGTTTTCAGCAGGTGTCGCCGGTTTCTCCTGAAGGTGTTTCCATCAGGCGTTTGAATCACATATGATCTGAGTTTTTCATGACTCCTCAACACAATTGCTGGTTGCCAGTTGTTTCTGACTTTTACTCTAACTTTCTCTCCGTGTGCTATGTACAACTCGTTGCCAGGCTTGTAGCTGACACGTAAATCATAGAGCTGTAATCTCATCAGCATTCTCTGGAGTCTTGGAGGAGCTTTTTTGGAGAGACTTTTTAAACTGTCTCCAGGGGCTTTTGATCCGTCTCCACTTGTACTGTCTTACCATAGACATACTGATGGAACTTCTCGCAGCCATAGACAATCGCCAAGAGCTCTTTTTCTATTTGGGCATATCTTTTCTGACACTCAGTAAGAGACCTTGAGCCAAATGCCACCGGATGTCCTTCTTGCAGCTAGCAACACTGCTTCCAGACCTTCAGCGCTTGCATCCACTGACAGCATTATCTCTTCGTTGGAATCAAAGTACTTCAACATTGGGGCGTTGCTCACAAGTGACTTCAGTCTTTCAAAGCTCTTCTGTTGTTCTGACTCCCAACGCCAAGCTACATCACCCTCTAGAAGTTTCCATAGCGGAGCATTGATGTCTGAGATGTTTGGAACAAACTTGGCCAGATACTGAAGCAGGCCTAAGAACCTCATTAGTGCAGCTTTGTCCGCTGGCTCTGGCATGTTCTGTATCGCTCTGACTTTCTCTTTGTCTGGCTTCAACCAGTCAGAATGTGTCCAACATAGCTGACTTCGGTCATCCTGATCTTGCATTTGTCTTTGTTTAACTTTAGATTAATGTTTATAATTCTATCTAGCAGCTGTCTTAGTCTCTTGTCATGTTGTTCCATGTCTTCACCCCACACCAGAATGTCCTCCACTATGTTCACGACTCCATCTAAGCCTTCTAGTCTTTGTGCAATGCACTTTTGAAACACTTCTGGAGCTGACACTATGCCAAATGGAAGAATCAAAAACCGGTATCTCCCAAAAGGAGTGTTGAAAGTACATAGTTTGGAGCTCTGTTCATCCAGCTGTACTTGCCAAAACCCATGATTGGCATCAAGCACTGAGAATAGTTTGGCATTTGTCATCTCAGCTACTATTTCTTCGACTGTGCGCAATGGGTAGTGTTTTCTCTTTATGGCTTTGTTGAGATCTTGTGGATCGATGCAGATCCAGAGTTTCTCTGGCTTCACTACTGTTACCATACTATTAACCCAATCAGTGGGCTCGGTTTGCTTCACGATAACTCCAAGATCTTCCATTCGTTTCAGTTACATTTTGACCCTGTCCTTTAGCGCTGTGGGTACTTTCCGTGGTGCGTGAATGACTGGAGCAACATCTGGGTTGAGCTGTATATGGTGCAGTCCTGGTACACATCCTAAACCAGTAAACATATATTGGTATTCACTCAGAATGTCAATTTGGTCTTTGTTCTCTACTTTGTAAACTCTTTTAATCAGTCCGAGTTTTGAGCATGCTTCTCTTCCTAGGATAGCTGTTGAGTCCTCATCTACAATTTGGAATTCTAGCTCAAACTCATTGTGTTTGTAACCACATTTGAGCCTTGCCTTACCATTTGGCTCCATCGCGTGGCCAGAATATGTAACTAACGAGCAGTTTGACTTCTTCAGTGGTATAGTCTTGTTAGAGGTTTTCTCAAAGTCTTTATAGGACAACACATTGCACTCTGCTCCTGTGAATTCTTGAGTCCATTTCTTGTTTTCACTTTCCATGGTAGAGACTGTATTCATTTGTGCCAGCCATCTGCTAGCTTCAACTGCTCCATGGTTTTCTTCTGACACTATGTGATGTTTGTTGAACGTGCATTTTAATAATTCACAGAGACACCAGATTAACGTGACTGTCTGCTTTACTAAACATTCTTATTCTGTATTATCTTGTCCAACAGGTTATATCATCCACAACACATCTCTAGACAGAGAGCACCATCAACAGGTAAGGAGTAATAACACAATTACCGTACATCACAAATTGTCCCCCCCCCATAACACCCATAAAACTTTACTATGTACTATAATTACATTACCTTTATGTGGAAAAAAACAAAACAAAAAAACATCAGCTGTCTTTTGGGAATGGTGTGTATTTGAAATGGATCATATTTGGGGGTCCCAGGCACCACAATCGCCCATTTAAGATAGTAAGAGCACATTTGACATGATAGCAAACAAATACAGTTAAAAACACATTTTGCTCTCGCCCTCAGCAAAACTGAGTAACGAGTTGCACTACGTAACAAAAGTTAAACCCAAATTTAGGAATATATTATTCTACTTTTAGGTTAACACGCCTTACAAAACGCAACAGAGAAACATGTCACGAGAGAATGCTTTTGATTCGCTAAACTACAAGGGCGTGATCAGCTGACGAATGGGAAGGCTTGGCTCATGAATATTAATTAGGTTATAAGACCGGCCGCTACAGGTACGTCACCGTGACCTAATTAATATTCAGGAGCTAAGAGTTTGTACATAAACTTTTATTGGCACATGCGTACGTGTTGAACGCAAATGTATTTTAATTTGCAAAGCACAGGGCAGCACATTCAAAGACCAACTCACAAATTCACAAAACTCCCACAGCTGTTTTGTGTCGTTGATATTTTTCCTCTTTCAACTTCACCATAAAGGATTCGAGTTTAATGACACAAAACACACCAAACGCGACGCAATCTTAACAAACAGTGCTTACCTTGCACTGATTGTGACCGACTTCTCTTTAAATTATTTTCCAAAAGAAAAGCAAACACAGAACCAACATTGATGGTCTTCAATGTTCTAAAACATTTAAACGCAGCCGTTCCATTCGCAGGTGTTCTGCTGCAAAAAGGCCTTCTTTAAAAACCAACATATGCTGGTTAGATATGTTTTGACACTGCCCTTTGCTGGTATATGCTGGTCTTTTGCTGGTTTAAGCTGGTCCTTTGCTGGTTTAAGCTGGTCCTTTGCTGGTTTAAGCTGGTCCTTTGCTGGTTTAAGCTGGTCCTTTGCTGGTTTAAGCTGGTCCTTTGCTGGTTTAAGCTGGTCCTTTGCTGGTTTAAGCTGGTCCTTTGCTGGTTTAAGCTGGTCCTTTGCTGGTTTAAGCTGGTCCTTTGCTGGTTTAAGCTGGTCCTTTGCTGGTTTAAGCTGGTCCTTTGCTGGTTTAAGCTGGTCCTTTGCTGGTTTAAGCTGGTCCTTTGCTGGTTTAAGCTGGTAATTTGCTGGTTTAAACTGGTCCTTTGCTGGTTTAAGCTGGTCATTTGCTGGTTTATGATGATCCTTTGCCAGCACATGACCAGCTTAATGTATCACCCAGAGAACTCAATTCAATAGCTGAGTCCAGTTATGGTTAAGTTGTAAGATGCGTTCACTGACAGCGATTTGCATCAATAAAGCTGGACTTCATTTAATGTCATTGAGAGTTGGAACTTGCTGAGAATCAGCATTCCGTTTTATGCAAATGAGCAGCAAAGCGTTGCAGCGACAGCCAATGGGAGCGCAGACAGCTGCAACCAAAAACTGTGACATTTACTAGATGTTTCCACTTGCGTCGAGCAGTTGTTCTCTGATGGAGTTGAGCTCCGCTAAACCTTCGTGCAGCTGTTTGGCCAGGCTCCGCACTTCAGCCGTCACCTCCTTCTTACAGCCCTTCTTCACCTCTTTCGAGTCTTTGGTGAAGTACTTGTCTATTCCTTTCTGCAGACTGGCTAACTTGGCCAGCGTGTGGTGAATTATTTCTTCCGCCCGATCTACCGGGTCGCTAACTAAGCTAATGGTCTGCAGGGCCCGCCGTACCTCCCAGTCACCGGTGTAGTAGTTGTTCCGTCGCAGCAGTGGATGAGAGCGCAATCGACAAAGACCTTCAATGATGAATCGCAAACAACGCTGCATTTCCACCAGCTGGGCCTCGTAGTCCATAATGATGAGTTCAATCTTCTTACGGTCCTGCATTCAAACAAGAGAGAGTTCAACATTTCAAATAACAGAACATATTTAAAGTCTATTTAAAATAAATAAAAAATATTTAAAAAATATGTATTTATATGATAACACATTGCAGTAAGTTCCCATCAATTTATGTTACTTAATGCATTAACTGTTAATGATCAATACACATGTTGCCGCATTTATTAATCTTTGTTAATGTTAGTAAAAAAAAAAAAAAGCATGGTAGTTCATGTTATCTCAGGTCCATTAAATAATATTTAAAAATACAATGTTTTATTTAAATAATTTATTAGTTTAGAATTCGCTATTAACTTATAGTAATACATTCTCTAGAAGTATTTGTTTTATTGTTAGTTGATGTTAACTAATGTTAACAAATAGAACCTTATTGTAAAGTATTACAATTTACACAACATAATATTTACAGCGTTTACATTCACTCAACATTTAGTTCAAGCAGTAATGCATGGCGCAAAGGTCATGGGTTCAATTCCCTGGTAATGCATGAACTAGTAAAATGTATTTATTGGATAAAATGCATAAATGTACATGTAAATATATTTATGTAAGAAAATGTAGTTGCATCTTTTAACTACAGTTAAACAATAATAGTAATAATAATAATACAGCAAAGTATTGCCTGTTTTGGGTCAAATGGGCCTCAGATTTATTGCAGTTTTGCAATGCAATGTTTTTGAATATATATACAGTGGGTACGGAAAGTATTCAGACCCCCTTAAATTTTTCACTCTTTATCAGAGTTTCTGCAGGTTTGAAGGCAAATTTAAGACTTTAAGATCTAAGTAATTGAGCTTTGTTTTCCAGTGAAAATATCAGAGTTACTTTTCAAAAGAAAGTGAGTTTGTGATTAAAACAAGACTAAATATCTGCCAAAAGAGACAGAAAAATAAACTTAATTCAAAGGAAAACAAGTTTTCATTCCTCACTGATAGATATTTGTTTTTGGTTTCAGCATAAACTCACTTAATTTTTATACATTTCACAGAAAGCAAGACTTCACATGCTCATGTTGCATCTCAAGTAAATGTATCTTGATTTAAGGATGTTTAGATATTTTTATTGGGCAACATGTCAAAATTGCTGAGGAAGTTATTCATTTCTGTGCAGTGTGTGCATCATTTAATGCCATAACTTTATGAATTCAAAACTTTCTGCACATATTAAGAACCTTTAAAGCCTTCATTTGTGGAAGAGCAAATTAAGACTTTCTAAGACCTCTTTAAGACCCACATAAACCCTGATCCAAATCAGCATAAAGTAAAATGGCAAAAAAGGCCATTTTTTTTACCTTAAAATATTGTAATCATAAAACAGGTGCATGCAGGGGCGGACTTAACCAATAAGCGAGGTAAGAGGCCCCTTTGGGCCCCTGTGGAATCAGGGGGCCCCATCTGATATTGGCAAAACATATTTGGCAAACGCTCCAGTGTGTATTTGTGTTCTGGAGAGCGTCAAACGTTCGCTCACTGCTCAAAATGCAGAGTTTTTGTCAAGTGCTGAGTTCTGCAAGCTCGTGAATCCTCTCATTATAACACCGTGTAGATACGATGCAAATTAGAGATTAATAAAACAGCTTCACAGATTAATGTTGTGAGATTGCGACGAACTGAAGTGAATGACAGCTTTTAGTGTTTACAGACGGAGCGCTCTTTGCACGTATGCTAGGCTGTATAATACTGTCTCAGAACAGAGGTATTCACCTCAGTAAAGAAAGTATTCTGTTTCAAGTCATAGTTTTATTTGTCTTGATGTTACAAAATGACTCTCTTGTGTGTTTTTCCTAGGCGTGCCGGCGTGAACTGCTGTGCTCTCTTAGAAATGCACACATGCAATGACTAGAGATTTTCACTTACTAATAGATAAAATTTTAGATTTGTTTCTCGGAAAACCCTACCATGTGCCTAGGACCACTTGGAATACAGAACGAGTTGCATGGGATAATTTTTATGACATTTGAACCCTTTTTCACTCGAAAAAAAAAATGCTGGGTTAAATACAACCCAGCGCTGGGTAAAATATGGACAAACCCAGCGATTGGGTTGTTTTCAACCAACAGTTGGGTTAAATGTTTAACTCAGCCACTGGGTCAAAACATCCCAATCGCTGGGCTTGTCCATATGTGACCATGGACCACAAAACCAGTCTTAAGTGTCAATTTTTTTTAATTGAGATGTATACCTTACTTCTGAAAGCTGAATAAATACACTTTCCATTGATGTATGGTTTGTTATGATAGGACAATATTTGACCGAGATACAACTATTAGAAAATCTGGAATCTGAGGGTGCAAAAAAAATCTAAATATTGAGAAAATCATCTTTAAAATTGTCCAAATGAAGTTCTTAACGATGCATATTACTAATCAAAATTGAAGTTTTTATATATTTACGGTAGGAAATTTACAAAATATCTTCATGGAACATGATCTTTACTTAATATTCTAATGATTTATGGCATAAAAGAAAAATCGATAATTTCAACACATACAATGTATTTTTAACTATTGCTACAAACATACACATGCGACTTAAAGTCCGCGTGAACCAGAAGTTGCTGCCGACTTTATTTCAGTGTAATGACGTATTTCCATCTGAAACAGAATATTGAATAGAGGGCATGGTTCTCCTCTTCTCTATCTCTCACTCATAGCAATCTAACGGTTGGAGGGGTGTGTTTAAAAGGATATTCTGCCCAAGCCGTCAAACTGACATCATCAGAGAAGGACTGTCATTCCAGAGCAGAAGCAAATGTTCAGATTTTGATTAAAGATTACCAAGACAAACAATTTTTTTGTTTAACTTGCACAGATTAATTGTTCACATCAAGACTAGCAATGTGCGCTAGTAAAGTAAATAAAGGCAATTTTGATTTCATGCCGACTTTAAGACTGGTTTTGTGCATCATGGTCACATAGTTTACCCAGTGCTGGGTTGTATTTAACCCAGCATTTTTTAGAGTGTTGTAAAAATATTGAAGAAGATTATAATTCATTGAATGGACAAGTGCAAGCTTTATATATATTTATATATAAATTATATATATATAATTTCTTCTTTTGTGATCCGAAAAAAAAAACAGTAACCTAATATGGCTTCAGAATAGCATCCGGTTGACTAATTAACTGGGTGCATGTGCACTTCAGCACTGGACATACGCACGTGCATGTTGTTGATGGTGTCTGAGATGGTGGCGGATGCGGCCGTGATGCCGCCCGCTGTAGCGACGCCCAGCCCGATGGCCGAGATGATGATGGACACTCCGAACGTGACGGGAACCAGCGCCAGCCCCGCGATGGCCGCGGCTCCTCCCACCGCTGTGGTCGTTCCTCCCGTGATGTTTGCAATTTTAGCGCGGTGGTGGAAGTTGCTGAGGTTGTCGGCGATGTCGTATAAGATCAGCACGTGCTGGTAGAGCAGCTCAGCACGCTCCATGAAGAGCTTCAGATACACGCGGAGACCTCGGTGGACCTTGTCAGCGACCACTTTAAACGATCTGACAGGAGACACAGAGAACAGCTTAATGAAGAAGTGTTTGGCTTCTGTGTGATAGTTAAAAGCAGAGATGAAGTCAAGGCCAGACTAGACACCTAGAGGAACAGATCATCAGATGGTTTATCAATGCTGGAAAAAACGATTATCTTACTTTGTATTTTTGTCTTTTTTCCAGTACAAATATCTAAATAAAATCAAGATTCTGTAGCAAAATGACTTAAGATGTTTTCATAAAAAAGTATCAAAATCAAATGAGTATGAATTCAATTTAATTCAAAAGGCAAAGCAATATTATTTTTCTGAACCAATCGGCAGACATTTCTAGTTTTAATCACAAACTCACAAAATGTTGATTTGTTTTTCAGAAAACAGTCCATTTACCTACTTCTCAAGTAAATGTATCTTTATTTAAAAATGTAAAATATACAAAAAACATTTACTTAAGATTCAAAATGACTAAGATAATAAGTCTTGTTTTTTACTAAAATTAAGTGTGAACAAATATCTGCCAGTGCAGTCAGAATATTGTGGTTCCCCTTCAGAAACTCGAGCTGCGTTGAGATCGCTTTGGGAACGCCCTTGCGTGACCGCGTTCTGAAGCACATGTCAAATCCGTCCAATGAAGCAGCGAGACGTCACGAGCAGGGCGACGTAAGCACCAGGAAGCATAAAAGCGCATTCGGACGGGTGCAAACCAGCTTCTGCTCTTTAGTAGCGCTCTGTGTATGTGTCTGTCTATTTACTGTTGTCTGTCCGCACAAGCACTCATATATATAAAACAATGAGAAAGTCTATGGCGAGCGAACGGCATTACAAACGCTGTGTTTCTCCCTGCCCACGATATCTGTTGGCGGGGGATACACACAATTTGTGTGTCGTTTGTTTAGGAGCGGAGCATGCACGGTCAGCTTTCGAGCAGCTGATTGTCATCACTGCGAGCTCT